TAGAGCTGGGTGAAACTTTAGAGTGCACCGAGGCCAATTCAATTGTTTTACAGACTAGGAGACTGGGGGCTAGAAGGGGAAATGACATCCTCAAGGTAGGTCACAGAGCTAGTAAGTGGCAGAGCCAGAGATTTGAACCTAAGTCTTTTGGCTCCATTTGCAGTCCTGTTTCCCATTACACCTCCCTACTTTCAATGTTTTACAAAGTGTTAAGCATGACATAATATTTGCTGAATGAATGTAATTAGCTTCCTTTGAATAGCAGTGGCACCTTAGAGAAAGCAATGACCTTTTCTGAGCTCAAGAACTAACCCTCAGTCCTAGGTCCACTATTGAGTGTATTTCTAAAAGGCGAAAATGACAAAGCCACAGAACCATTTCTATTAAAAGATCTCCAGACCCATTCTTTGTGACCATGCTGAATGGAACATTAAGCATCTATTCCAAGGTTATTGGCATTTTGTAAATAATTGCAGTTCTTTCTAGACATGCTGTCAGGTTCACTTAATTCAGAACAGTTTCAGACCAACCACAAGCATATGGTGGGGTATGTTTTAACACCAGAGAATAAGTTTTATATAGATATATACGTATGTATATGAATATACATGTATGTATGTGTGTATATATACATATATATATTTAGAGAGAGAAAAAGAGAGAGAGAGACAGAGAGAGAGAGAGAGAGAGAGAGAGAGAGAGAAGAGAGAGAGAGAGAGAGAGACTGACATAATCTTGTAGGGAGAGGGGAGGGAAGGTTGGTTGGTTGAGACTTAAAATTTCATCAGTTTGTCACCTAGCGTTTATGAAGTGTTTGTTTTATGGTAAGCACCATGCTCAGTGATAGGGATATAGAGAAAGGCAAAAACATGATTTCTTCCCTCAAGGAGCTCACATGCTAAAGCAGAAAACAACATGCGAATAATTGTACATATAAGCTGTATACAGTGTAATATGGACTATACTCTCAGAGGGAATGAACAGGGGAAGGCACAAGGGGAGGGATGCAGGAATCAGGAACGGCTTCTTGCAGAAGATGGGATTTGCAATGAGTCCTGAATGAGGCCACGAAAGCAGGGAGGCGGCGAGGAGGAGGGAGAGCATTCTCTACGTGGAGGACAGCCAGTGGTAAGGTACTAAGTCTGGAGTGTGGTGTTCAAAGAACAGCAGCCATGTCACTGGATCATGGCATAGGTAAAGGGAATCGAAGTGTTAGAACACCAGAAAGGTAGGAAGGGCAAGATCGTAAAGGGTTTTAAATGCCAAACGATGCATTTATATTTGATCCAGGAGGTAATTGGGAGCTACAGATGTTGAGACTCTCTCCATTGATGTCAGTTAGCAACTTCTTTGTAAATTGTAGTTTTAGAGCAGGAGGTATTGTGGGACCACCTGATAGTCACCCAGGCAGAGTGTCGGAGACAGAACCTGAACCTGTGATTTCAAGGCCATATTGAGGGTATTTGCCTTCTCTTTCCCCTTTAGCTTCTTCCTCCGTCTACCTTTTTCCTCCCTTCCTACTCCCATCTGTTTTCCTTTTCCCCCTTTGTAACTTGGAGATTTCCCTAAGGCTCTTAGAGATTACCTTCAAATAGCTAAAATGTACCAGGGCAGACTGGAACTCCACTCTTCAAGACTTCATGGTCTCACCTTTATCCACTGTGCCTCTTAAGTGATATATCTAGGGGTACAGCTGTCACTCCGAGTATATTCAGCCTTGTTCTCTTGAAACTGTTAAACCACCTTGGTGCCCTAGGGAGAGCACTAGATTTGGAATCAGAGGGTCTGAATTCAAGACCTGGCTGATGCTTACCAGCTGTGTGGCTTTGGGAAGGTCTTTTCAGTTTTCTGGGCTTGTTAGCTCATCTCTAGTTGCACTATATACCTTATGGGATTTCTGTGATAATCCACTGAGATGATATATGTAAAACATGTTGTAACATTCTGAGCTATGTCATATAGGGATCATAATACTTGTAGCAGAAATGTGTCTTAGAGGCCATCTGGTTCAACACTTGACACTGCCCCCATGGAACATAGGAAGAAATTGAAGTCCATGCAGGGGAAGTGACTCACCCAGGGTCACACAGGCAGCAAACAGTAAAGTCAGAAGTCAAACGCTGGTCCTTTCATTCTATAGTCAACGTCCTTCCCAAGACGCCACATCATTTTTTTTGTAGGTGTCAAGAGCAAAAGACTTAATTCATACAGAGTAATGATTGAACGTATGGAAATATACACAGTGTTGCATCTAAGGTAAATTTGAGCTTTTGGTGGTGACAATAGTGACAATGATATCTATTAAGACTTGCTGTGGCATCCTTAAGAAACCACATCCCAACATGGAATTGACTTTTTAAAGGACACCTCACAGAAGCAGTTATTATTGCTTATCTCTTAGGAATGAAGGCCTCTTGTGGTCCATCCTGCTCATTTTACAGGTGGGGAAACTAAATTTCAGAGAAAAAGGTATTACATAGTACTATGTATCTTCCAAAGTACCTAGCATAGAACTGAGCACATGGTTAAGTATTGACTGATTTTAGGGTAACACACTCTTGGAAACCCATTGAATTGTAAACACATGTTAGACTACTTATCTGCCTGTCTCTCCAAAGGGTTGTCTTCAGTTTGATGAAAAATTGGACATTTCAGTAATTATTTTGATAGTTTTAACTTAGTTTATTTAACATAGTGATGTAGCTTGGACTAATATTCGTTCTTGGCTAAAATGGAACGAGAAAGCTACTTGAACACTTGCCCTAATAGGGAATTCACTCCTGGAGAAGGAAAGCTGTTTCTCTTTTGCACAGCTCTGATATGAACAGATTCCTGAACAGAAATCTGCCTCCCTGTACTTTTTACCCATTCTCCCTAGGTCTGCCTGGTCAAGTCATTCAGAACATGTCTGATGATCTCTCTTCTGCATGACAGATCTTCAGATGTTTGAGAACATCTGTCATATCTTTTCTTAAGTCTTTGCTGCTTCTACATATAGCTTACAGAGGTATCAAACACACAGCTTGCAAGACACTCAAGTGGAATCAGGTTAAAATGTAATTAGGAAATGTTTAGTAAAATAAATAAAAATATAGTACAACATGCCTAATGTTAATTTGTGGTTTTTTAAGGCATTATGTGGCCTGTAGGAATCTGTTTACATTTGAGTTTGATACCACTGGTTAAGAAGGTCATCAGCATCTTGCAGCTTGGTCATAGCTACTACTCCAAAACACATTCTCATTTGTCAATGCTCTTCTAAAATTTTAGCACCTAGAATTAAACACGTATCAGACTATAATCTCATTAGTGGAAAACTATAGGTCTTTCCAGTTTTCTGGGCTTCGGTCAGCTTATCTCTAGTTGCACTGTATGTCTCAAAGAATTTCTATGGTAATCAGTCCACTGAGATACTATATGTAGCCAAACTCAACAAAGAGTATCCCAAAAGTTTTAGTGTCATTTTAATCTTTAAAGTTTAAAATGCCTCTGAAGCTTTTGGGATATCCTATACTTCTGTCTCCTCATTTATTGTCTGCCTTCTTCCATCTCCATGATTTTGCCCATGCTTCCCTTTCCCCACCTCCCGCCATACATAGAATGGACTTCCCACCTACAGCTTCCATCTGTTGAAGTCCCATCCCTCAAGGCCTAGATCAGATACCATCTCTTCCATAAGCCTTCTTTCACTTCCTTAAGGTAAATATCATTTCTCCCTTCTCCAGTTTCTCATGGTGCTTTGTGGGCATATGTCTTTTGCTCTTATTTCTCTCCGTTTTTATCATCAGTATTTGCTTGTACATCTTTCCTTTCGTTAGATCATAAACTGCTTTAGGGAAGCAAGACTTAAGTTGTACCTATCATTGTATGTGTGGGACCTAATGTTTTGAACATAGTTGGTGCTGAATCTATATTTGTTGAATATATGTTGAACGAGTGAAAAGAGTACAGGATTGGTTGTGAAAACTATCAAATTCCATAGTGTCCAATATTTGTGCTGAACATAATTATATCTTTGGACAAATATAGCTCCTTCATTGGTGGAGGGAGCCAATCCCTCCTGTGAATTGTAAAGTCAAATATCTTTCAGTGAAGCATAATGATAATCTGTCATATTTACATATTACTTGCCAATTTAGAAAGTATATTATATTTATAATCATCTCATTTGATCCTCATAATAACCTTGTAGGGAAGGGCAAGTATTATTCCCATTTTACAGATGAAGAAGTAGAAATTAAGGGACTTGCCCAAGGTCACATGGCTTGTTAGTGGCAAAGCCAGGACTGGAATTCAGGTCCTCAGACTCCAAAGGAGTCCAGAGATCTTTCTACTACCTCATATTTCTTTTACTTTTAATGCAGACAGCTGAACCTTAGTAGATTGTTGGAAGCAGCATAGAGAAGTACCAAGAACCCTCAACTAGATGACACAAACAAAGGTTTAAATTCCAGCTAGTGCCACTTACTGGTTGTATGACCTCAGACAAACCACTTCACTTCCCTATCTACATAATCATAGATTTGAAGGAATATGAGAAGAGTCATTTAGTCAAACCAAAACATCTCTTTAACAACATTGCCAAAAAGTAGTCATTTAACCTGTATTTAAAAACCTCCAGTGTGGAAACATCAGCTTCTCCATCCACAAAAAGAGGGACTAAGAGAAGATGATATCTGGTTCTAAATATGGCAGCAGGATATATGACCCTACCCAAGTCTTCTCTCCCAGGCCTCCACTTCCCTTCTCGGTGAAATTAATGACTTGGGTTAAGTTGCCTTCCCCCTTTATCTCTAGGATCTGAGAGCATTTCAATGCCTCAGAAGCTGATAAAAACCCTTTGAAAAGTAACAGAATTTTTTGGACAGTATTATGCAGATGCCAGGGGCTATTTATTTGTTGTTTTCTCCCTTCTCGATGGTCATGGGCTTATAGAATGGCCCCAGGTCATCGTTGGCTTCCAGATGGTATGTCTACCCCTTAACGCAGTTTCTCCCCAGACATTGTCGACATCAAGCCAGCCAACATGGAGGACCTGACTGAAGTGATCACGGCCTCAGAGTTCCATCCCCAACCACTGTAACCTCTTCGTCTACAGCAGCAGTAAAGGATCCCTGAGATTGTGCGACATGAGAGCGTCAGCCCTCTGTGACAAGCACTCCAAGCGTAAGTGGCTGCCCCTCACCCCATGGCTCCGATGGTCTTTGTCCTCTTTGCCGGCAGGGACGGTGGCCGGAGTCTTAGAGGCCCCAGGGATGGCATGATCTTAGTCTGGGAACACTTCACAGCTGCAGCACAGATGCCACCCCATAATTAGGTCTTCCTTGCGTGCAGAAGGGAGAGTTCATGTTCACCTTTGTTCCTTGTGTCGTCCCCGAGATCTGGATGTTAGTACATGGCTCTAGCACAGGTATCTGTACTGAGAGGGTGGGTGGGGCCAAGACTTTGCCCGTTGCCTTGTATCCATGGAAACACATAGTCATTGTTGTCTAACATTTGGAAGAACCTTAGAGTGCTGCAGCTCAGATTGACTTGAGAGGTCACTGAGTTCAGACCCCTCCCCTGTCCCCTGACCCTAAATGCATGCACAGTACTAACTAGCACTTCTCATTGCTCATGGCAATGGGAGTGTGACCCCAAGACACTTCAAGCTCTTGGAACAACAACGACAACAACAATAGTGGCATCCCCAGCAATAACTCACATTTATAAGGGCGGCAAAGTGATCTAAAGGAAAGAGCCACGAAATTCAATTCAGAAAGCTTGGTTTTAGGTCCCAGCTCAGACTTTTAATTAGGTGACGTCCATGGGGATTAGACAGGAAGAGCAATTTGCTGGGCTGTGAGATTCAAGTTATCTCACCTATCAAAGTGGGAGAAGAGGTCTACCATAGAGTATAGGATCTATCATAGTGGATGATGGAAATTTGCTGAGCTACACTGGGTGAGGGAGTTTCCTCTTCAGGACTTGCCTAGGATCACCCAGTAGTGTTTGTCAGAGGCAGGACTTGAATCTAGATCTTCCTGCCTAAGTACTATATGAACTATTGTAATAATAATAATATGTTAATTATTACAATAGCTCGTATAGTACTTTCCTTCCCAGAAACCATTTGTGGTAGGTAATATAATTATCATACTGATACAGCTAAGCCATCTAGATAGTATAGTGGATAGAGTATGGGGCTTGGAGGCAGGAAGACCTGAGTTCAGATGTAGTCTTAGACACATATTAGTTGTGTGACCCTGGGCAAGTCACTTAACTGCTATTTGCCTCAGTTTCCTCATCTGTAAAATGAGGACAATAATAGTACCTACCCTGCTGGGTTGTGTGAGGATTCAATGAGATAATATTTGTAAAGTGCTTTGGAAACTTTAAAGCACTGCATAAAAACTAGCTATTTACTTATATTATGGGAAACGTTGCCTACATAAAGGGACAGAGCTAGAAGAGGAAATGTCACGTATAAGGAATATTATGTATGTAAAAGGTCAGTTTAACTGGAACTTGGAGGGTGGAAAGGGGAGTAATATATAATAAATTGGGAAAAGAAAGGTAGAATCAGATTGTGAAGGGCTTAAAATACCAAAAGAGGAGTTGGTATTTTATCTTTCAGGTAATCCGGAACCACTGCAATTTTTTGAGTAGGGAATGAGCTTGTCAGAGTTACACCACTCATTGGTACAGTGCTGCTGTATATGAGTTTCAAGTCCTCTGTAACACCAGCTGGTTGGTGCTATGCTGTATGAGCAAAGCAGAATTGAAATAGCTCAAAAGAAATGCAAGATGCAAGAATTTAGAGAATCCACCCCAAATGTTCAAGTGGACTATTTGTGTCTGACCTGTGGTGGGACATTCTGAGTTCACGTTGGTCTGATCATCCACAGCTGGGCCCACTGAAACTTGACGCTAGGGTAGTGATGCCATTTTGGTCCTCTTTGAGAATGAGAATGACAGCCAATCAGCTGGTCTCTACTAAGAGCCATATCCTTCCTAACCAGCTGCTTATCGGAATCAGTCTGCACCACCAGCCTAATTGCCTTCTCTTCTGCATAGGCCTTGTGACATAGGAGTGGGGGAACCCCAGGGGATGATACCTTAGGAGCAGTGGAAAGTTTTGAGGGTTTTTTCTGTTTAATTGTTGTTGGTTTTTACCCTTCATCATTTAAGAAATGGGCAGGAAAGGACAATGAAGAGAGACAGTTTTCATAATATAGTCAAGTGCAGTCAGCCCATTAGAGTTCAGATGAAGGGGTGTATGCAGATTTAAATTGTTTTCGATCAGTGTCTGGGAAGGAGAGGGCATAAGTGCTATCTGTATGTCAGTCAACTTGTCCTACTCAAGAGGACCCTTGTCTATGTAAAATAATTTTATTTTAGATTGTATACGTATGCCTTCATTAAAATCTTCTATCAATATCCCCATCGTAGCATGGGGCATTGGTTTTTCAAAAAAGCTATGTCAATGGAGTACAAATTCTAGAAAGTCCTACCAAGCAGAACTATCTACAAAAATAACAATAAAAATAGCTAGTATTTAGATAGCACTTTGGGCAGCTAGGTGGTATAGTGAATAGAGTACCAAGCCTAGAGTCAGGAGGGTCTGAGTTCAAATATGGCCTCAAATGCTTTAACCCCTATTTGCTTCAGTTCCTCATCTATAAAATGGGGACACACTTGAGAAGGAAATGGCAAACCACTCTATTATCTTTGCCAAGTCAGACATGATTAAATGACTAAATATGTAAATTGCACTGTAAGAGTTTGCAAAGCAGTTTATCTGTATTTTCTCATTTTGTTCACACAACAACCCTGTGATGGAAGCTGATGATATCATCATCATCATCCCTATCATCATCCCCATTTTACAGATGAGGAAACTGAAGCCTAAAGAGATTGTCATTTGCCCATGGTCACACAGCCAATAAATATGTAAAGCAGAATTTGAACTCAGATTTTCCTGACTCCAGGTCTACCAGGCCACCTAGCTGCCTCGTAACTGAGAGGTGAGTCAGTTGACAGATATCTTTTTGCTGCCCCAGGAGCAGTAAAGTTGGGTTCAGAGGTGCTCATCACCAGAGGGCTGCCCACCAGCAGGGGATGGATGAATTTGTTTTGTAAGAGCACCCTATAAAGATCTTTTACTAAGAAAGCTTAGAGGAGCTAGCATGGTCTAGTGTAGGAATGACATTTTTAGAGTTAGAGGACTTAGATTTGAAACCCAGTTCTTATTACTTGAGCGACCTCAAAGGAGTCAACTCTCTCTAGGCTTCAAGTTTTCCTGCCTTGTGGTTGTAAAACAAGGGATAGGATTAGGTGATCCCTAAAGACCCTTCTAGCTCATCTTGCCAAAGTACTTTGGAGAAAAAGAATCTCACAGGAGGAGAAGGGGTAGTGGGATTGTAATACATTATCAGTGGAGAGAGTCCACACCAAGGAAATTAGAGGTTTTGCAAAGTAGTTAAGTATGGAAAACATATCATTGGTGAAATAGAAATGAGGGCAGTAAGTGGATCTAAGCCATGTGGCCCTGGGGCATGTTTTCTAGTCCTATTCTTGGAGAGGTTAGACATTGATCCCCTCACCTGGGCCTTCATAAGACCTAGTTCTTCAGCATTTCCCCAAACTAAAATGTGAGAGTGTGGTCACATGCAGAACCGTAGACCCTCAGAGTTAGGAGGTACCAAGCTGTTAACTTGTCGAGCCCCAACCAAACCTTCACAAGTTGTAGTGACTTAAAGTAATAAAAAGATTGGATCGAATCTCAGAACTCAGGCCCTCCAGGACACAGGAATATGTACCTTCTTCTGTGGAGAGCCAGACACAGGGAGTATTCTAGTTTGGTTGGGGGGGTGTGTGTGCGCGCGCGCAAAAACCCATCCATTCACATCATAGGAACAACCTACTTCATGAAATCCTAATGTTGTTACCCACCCATCTGACAGTGTTGGTCAGTGGGTTGAACTGGAGGGAGCGTCAGGGAAATGGAATACAGCAGAGTATGGAGGTGTCCTCCACAGTGTGTGGGATGTCTCTACTGTGCTTAAACTTCCAGTAACAGTGGGTTGAATTGGAATAATCTACCTCTAGCACGTGCCTTCAGCTTCATCATTATATTTTGGTCATTCAGACTTGGATGGGCCAGCCGGGCCACCGTGTGGTAGTGAGAGTAGAGTGAAGGCAGAGAGCCCAGCTAACTCTCTGAGGTTTGGGTCACCAGTAGGGCCTGCAGTCCTAATGTCAATATCTTTCACCATTTATGTTATTATTGTGGCACATGAACTTGTCTAGACTGGTCTGGGGTCACTATTAATTTGGTTCCACAGCCTATAGACAGTATTTAAAGCTATGATCTTATCCAGCCTAGAACTGCTGATCTGCATTTTACTAGCTAAGTTCTTCCTAGAGAGGGGCTACCCAACCATGGTCACTAGGACTTGAAAAATAGACCAGCTCCCTTTCCATGTTGTTGTTGTTGGGGGTGTGTGTGTGTGTGTGTGTGTGTGTGTGTGTGTGTGTGTGTGTGTGTGTGTGTGTGTGTGTGTGCTAGAACAAAGGCTTGGAGTTGATCCATTCATTTTCCAAGGTCCTGCCTTGGGGCTAGGCTTTCTCTATGGCTGAGTGAGTACAAATTCACCCAGTCCACCATATCTAGCCAGTCCTAGATCAGGCATGCATCCATCCAGCCAAACCATCTTGACATTACATCATAACCCCTCTGCACTCTCCCAGCCCCACCTCTCTTTCCAATTCATGTGTTAGGCACAGTGATCAAATCAGTATTACCATTGCTTCTGGAAAAGGGCATGTCAATTGATTACTGTGGATCCAATCAGAGCCTTTGGGACTTCCCAGACCAAAACTTCCTTCCCAGGCCAACGCTTTCTTATATGTATGGTCTCCATCTATTAGAATATATGCTTCTTGAGGGTGGCAGGGCCTATGTCACTCTTGTATTTGTATCCCCAGGCTCTGACAATACAGTAATAAGTACTTAATAAATACTTATTCAATTTTGTTCAATGACAGGAGTTCATAGATCATAGATTTAGAGGTTTAAAAGACCATAAAGGTCATCTAGTTCAATCCTCTCATTTTATATCTGAGGAAGCTGAGATTCAGATTAAGTGACTTGATCATGGTCACACAGATTAAAAGGACCAAAG